AAAACTGGCCCTAAGACCAGGCAGCCAGACAGACATTGGTGAACAGGCAGGGCAGACATAGCTTGCTTTCTGAGCCTAAGTATGGCCCTGATAATCCACATACCCTCTCTCTTAGAGATAGCTGGATTTCAGCTATTGTACAATGCAGCTTTTCCATTTGCACTGTACTTGGAAAATTCAGCACAGCATATATATGCTAAATTTCTTATCTTACATCACCATCTTTGAAAATCACATTTGGGCCTGGTTTAAGACCATTGTGTTTTGTGAGTCATAAATTTGTATAGCACAGACCACATCCAAACACCAACAAATTTTTTTAGTATTTGCACATAAAAAATCATTCATATTTTCTATATGCTGCTGGATTCCTCTCAGAGCAATTCATAATTCTTTCTCTCTAAAAGCACCCAGAAGTCCAAATTTTCTCAGATATATAGCACAAATACTGTATTTTTCTTCGTTATCACACTGAATCATAGTAATGATGTTGAAGAACTTGTATTTGAGGTAAGTGATAAAATATTTGGAAGTACTGTTTGAACTCACTCAGGTTGCTCATTTATTCTGATTACACTGTCAAATGCTGACTTGTGAACTCTGATGTGCTGGGACAACACTGTGTTTTTCTTGTGTTTTTGTTATGCATAGGCTACATTGATTTTGCTTTTCACACCAAAGAGTGCCTCTTGACCAAACAGAGTTTGGTCGGAGTTGCTTGGCTTGTGGTTGCACTGTTGAAGTCTCTGGGCTTTTTTTATCCTTGCTAAATATCAAAGTTGTGCATTGCAGTACTAATACAACTGCTATACAAAGACACCTCTGACCATGCTAATGAAGACCACAAACTTCACTCATTTCAGAAGCCTTGAGCCCTGCCTCTTGAGAGATGCAGAGAGAGAAATGAGGGATTAGAACTGTGAGTGATGGGCAGCCTGCCCATAAGGCCTGTGCCCTAGAATAGTCTGTCCCCAGATTGTGCTTGTATTTCTCAGCTGAAAGAATTGTTGGTAAATACTAAAGCAGAGAATACTGGCTGTATTGTTCTGATGAAGAAGACAACGCTGACATAGAAATGTTGATTCATATTGAACAAAGTGATTGGCTTGTTTGTTCACAGCTCCTAAAGAAGGAAACTTGATGGGATTTAAATGCATGCAGGACCAGTCTGTTCTGCACTGTCCTGTCCCTGACAATTGGGCATAGCACCACTGAGCACTACCCATCATTGCCTCACGTACCATGAAGACAAGTAAGGATAGTGTACAGCAAATATGACTATGCCATGAGGATTACCAGCTTTATGCTATTTCTAGGTGATGTATTTTCTGAATTAGTTGTAATTTCTATGTTTCTACAGTTAGCTGTAATGGATTTTTCTTCCTTTACCTTATCTAATTTCCCCTCATGCTCATGTGAATACAACATCCACTACTGGCCATTGTATGAAGAACCAGATTCTCAAATTTGTTTGGATCAGGATTTATATTCTTCACTTGACGGTGTCCCATTTTTTCACAGAAAATAGTGAATGACTGATCACTGTCCCTGTTGTAAGAAGGACATGGAGTTGTTGGAGCAGGTTCAGAGAAGGGCCATGAAGATGATCAGAAGGCTGGAGAACCTGCCCTACAAGGAAAGGCTTAGAGAGCTGGGGCTTTTCAGCCTGGAGAAGGCTCTGAGGAGGTCTCATAGTGACCTGCCTGAAGGGGGCCTGCAGGAAAGCTGGGGAGGGACTTTGTATAAGGGCATACAGTAACAGGACAAGGGGAAATGGCTTTAAAATGGAAGAGGGTAGATTTAGACCAGATATTAAGAAGAAATTCTTTTCTGAGGGTGGTGAGACACTGGAACAGGTTGTTCAGAGAGGTTGTGGATGTTCTCTCCCTGAAAACACTCAAGGCCAGGCTGGATGGGGCTTTGAGGAACCTGGTCTAGAGGGAGGTGTCCCTGTCCTTCCCCATCAAGGGAGTTGGAACTAGGTGATCTTAAAGGTCTCTTCCAACCCAAACCATTCTACGATTCTATGATCTACCTCCATACCACTAACAATTCTTTGTATTCTAACTTGTCAGTTCTTGTCCAGAATAAAGGATACTGACTTAGTCATTTCTCATATCTTTAAATGATGTTTAAGCAAGTGGACATTTAAAAATATAATTTAACATGCTCGTTTCAAGGTTACTGTTTACAGGCAATTCAGGCTTTCTGTGGATAATTAATTTTTCATGGATGTAGAGACGTTTCCTTCATTTGACACCACATATGCAGAAACATATCCATAACATTATCATTTCAGTGGTAATTGTTTGTGATATCCTTTGAACTTTCTTGTAACTGGGGTAATAGGAATCTTTAACCTCTATACCACAAAGAGATTCATGTTTTTATAAACTTGGAGGCTGTCTGTAATGCAATACAATATTTTCACAGTTGAATAGACCATTCTCTTGTGCCTGGTTTTAAGTTTAATTGAAGAAACACATTAAAATTGAAAGCACGTCTGAAAACTCGTGGAAGGTATGATGAGCTACATAAACATAAGTATACTGCCTGCAAATGCTTGCTTGTATTTTTCCTCTTGCAAGAATTGCAGTAACCATATGATGTACATGTCTGCAGTCAAGGAAGCTCATCCTGAAAGCTTCAGGAATGCTGGTTCAAGTGCTGAAGCACATAAATAACATTACCTCCCAAGATTCTGATTTGCAGTCCTTGAACCTTCTGCTTCTGATTTTTGTAAACGTAGGGCTACACTGTTAAAGACAATCCATAAAGTTGGTCTAAGAGCTTTTCTTAACCACAACAGGTTAGATGATCTATTTTGTATGATCAGACTGCATTTTGTAAATGATGTTTCTTTTTATTGGCATGTGTAGCTCTCTTACTTTTGCCTCTCTAACTGTATGATATGTAAATCATCTTGCTCATGCCAGCATCCTAACAGCTATGTCTGTGAAAGAAATTTTGGAAATAATACTTTGTGCCCTTTGACCATTTAAAAATCAAAACCAACAAAAATTCCTCCTGTAGTTAAGATGTGATCTGCTTAACTCAACGGGGGTTTCCAGGATGTGGGTGAATTTTAACCATCCTTTTTGACATAAGTCAAGCTGTGTGAAGCAATGAAATTCTGATTGCTGTGTGGTGAGACGACTGCATAGTGTTACAGCTCCCTCATTAAGAGGTACTGGAGCTAAGCAGGGGGAGTTGAACTTTCCTCTGTATTAAAACAAGTGTGGGAGAGGAGGAGAGTGAGCTGGAGTAAGGGAGTTCACCTTGTGACAACAAAGAATTAACATGCAGCGTATCAAGTCTCCTGAACTTCGTCCTGCTTGGTAGTTTATCAAACAACCAAGATGAATAAAGCAGCAACAAATGATATAAATCCATCCTGATTTCAATCTTCTGGCCTAATTTTCAGCTTCATTCTTTTTCTTTTCATTGCTGTGTGTTCTCCTATCCTCAACTCACAGTTTATATCAGTCCTAGTGTTCAAAATACATAGAGATCTCATCACCTGAATAAAAAATAGTGCAGATGGGTGAGATGCAAGGCAGTTCTGATGATTTCCTATTCGTTCTAATGCACGCTAAATTTTATCAGCGTTGTATCCAGTTTACACTGAACACATAATATGGCTCAAACAGTTTCTACGAAATTATTTAGTCAGCATGAACAGTACATTCCCACTATTAAAATCCACAACAATATATGTGTCATCTTTTGCAAATAGCAAAGAATTTCCATACTACTAAGATGTGAATCAGCCTTATAATATCATCTGGCACTCCTAATCAAACTTTAGAGAAAGTTTGAATAAAAATCGGAAGGGTGACATTTCAGTTCACAAAGCTAGCGCTGAAAAAAGTGACTGAAGCATAGATATTGAAGGAATATGGAGATAATGAGAATTACTCTTGTTAGTTGCAGCTGACTGAAAGTAAGTCAAGGAAGATGATTATGAAACAAGTAAGCAGTGGAAGAACCGAAACGTCAAACCATGTTAATGCCCAATGGAATCTGCAGCTCCTTCCTATATTCTCCTATTTTTATTCCCCATGTACTCAAGTTCTGTTATCTCCATGCATGCACTACTGTTCTATGGATGAATCTTCCTGGTTGAGCTGCAACAGTCTTTTCTTCAGAGACGGCATTAAATCAAGGTTTTGTAAGCATCTTTGCTAGGATAGTGAAGTGCAGGGTGGGATATTGCAGTTTATTCAGCAAAAATGTAGGCAGTGGTAGAACAGGGAAAGAACCTGGTTAATTTGAAGTAGATATGAGTTTCTAGCATTCTCACAAATACAGATTTTCCAGTACCAGATTTTCCAGTCAGACCCTCTGCCTCATCGATGGGGCTTGTAACAGCTAGCAGCTGCAAGGTTCCTCTTCAGCCACTGGTTTTCAATGATTACCTGGGACATCATAGCCTTGGCACAGTTATTCCTGTGCCACAATTTTAGAAGTGAGTAAGAGAGAGCAGATGAGCAGACTAGAAAGCAATCTTAATCACATGTTGTCTTCCAGGGAAAACAAAAATTTTGCTCAGAATTTTGCTTGGAATCACTGAGTTTCCTAAACATCTTATTCACTTGTGGGTTAGAGAGGCTAATGCCTGGGCTGATAGCCAGAGCTTAAAGAGGGAAAAAGCGGTCATGCACTTAATTTTTTTCTTCCTAAATTATCTGCTTTTTGATTTATCTTGGTAAGCATTTCATTGTGGCAAATGTATGCTCTCCAATTCCTTAACCCTGGCATGCAGTACTTCTTAAGAATGTGAATCACTTGGAGCAGAGAACTCCCATTTCTCTATGGTATCTAATACAATAGGGCATGAGACTGGCTGCAACTGCTGCATACTAAAGTAGCATATTTCAGTAAAATGGTACTTTGTTATCCTGTACATTTGAAGTTTGGACCATGCAGATTCTCTCTCAGCAGCCTAGAGGATCTTTACTAAGGAGCAAATTATTATGTTTCTCCAACAGAACATTTTCTGCGGCCTTGGGTATTCTCCATTGCCTTGGGTAACATCATCTGATAAATTAACTGCAGGTGCTTCCAAATGTATAGTGTGACTATACTTATCCGTGGTCTACCTAGAAAAAACGGAAAAATTATTAGCCTGCATGCCTGACCTTGTGAATACATATGACATAACACAAGCCCCAGCTCAGCAAGGTACTTAAGTGCATACCTCAATACCCACATGAACAGTCAGACACACTTTTAAGTGTCTTGCTGAATCTGGGCCATACAGAAGCTGAACACATCAAGCAGCTACCCACATTAAGTTCCCGTAAGAGAAAATTGATTTCCAAAGTGTATTCATTCCCTCTGGCTGTTAACACTGAAGAAGAGTGAGTAATAAAATTTCTGCTTCTTCATCTTGGATAGGGGCTGTGCATGTACTTGCTTTCACTGAAATGTTTTCTCCCTGGTATTAAAATTGTTTTGTGAGTTTTGGGAACTATACCAGATAATGTGAAATAAAGATCTGTATTTTTTTGTATCATTTTCTCTCTGTGTCTTTCATAACATTAGAAATAGTCACATAGATCTTAGTAAATACATTAAATAATAAAATAGATTAAATTAATAAGAGGAAAGCCTTCTGGATCTAGTTGGACTTTGTGGCATGTCTGTTATTTAAGTGGTTTTGCAGTTTGTGGTATAGTCCTACTTTTGAATGTGGAGCCTACCACTTCAGAATGAGACAACTGTTCTGTAATATAGCAGTCAGTTCACCAGTGACTAAACACACCGGTATTTGGATGTGTATTTTGTTAACATTTTGAAAAATATCAGTGCACTACAGTTACCTAAGTTATTACTTACAGATGCTTCACACTACATGAATACAATACAGAAGACTCTCCTCTATCTGTGGATCAACAATTTATCATACATTCAGAGATAAGTGGAAATGTGGACCACAGCCTTTGAAAATTTTTCAAGCTAAATTTCTTTCTTAAAGTACATTGAGTGCTATCTTGGGATTTATACTACCACTAATGTTTCAGTGCCTGAATGCAGAAAAATCATTGCCTTTGCTGAAATGGTTATTTACAGTGCATTATAAAATAGTCTGATTAGATGGAATTGTTAATTCAGAATGCTCTGTGGCTGGAATCTATTATCAGACACTCTTGAGATGCATATCAGAAGGGTTATCACTTTACTGCTACAACACACACATACGGAAAAGTGTTTTGACTGCTAACCACAGAAGGGGTCAGAACAAATCCACAGAATATTAAGTCTTCTGGATATTGGTACCAAATAAAAACACCAGGCTTTTAAAACTGTGTTTTGTTTGGTATTTTTTTTTGCCTTAGTTTAGACTCTTCTTTATTCATATGCCCATCTTTAAATACATCTCTGTCAAATCTGCAGTTACATCATATAGTAGAGCTATTCTAACTTGCTGTACAGAGCCCAGGGAAATCTCACTTGTCTTTATCTATACACCACAGTGTAGAAAACCCCACAATTACCAGGAATGTAACAGAACTATCATAACTGTTTTATCTGTGTTGTGATAATGCCTACAGACTGAGAAATCATTATAGTCTGGTCTAACCAAATAAAGTAACATGACAATCCCTTCTCAAAAGGGTTTAATCATCTAGTTAAAGCACTGAGTTAATCAATGTGTTGAAAGCAGTGATGATAGTAAGGGAAAAATAGGATTGTGTGGTTTCTTATCACAGGCATTTTATACATATATATAACCCAGAAGTAAAAAAGCTAAGAGATGTGAATAATTCTCTGAGTGAGATAATAGGTTGATGTCTTCAGGGCTTTCATAAGAAAGGTACATTATCAATTACTTACGACTGCCTGAGAGAGAAGGGGTAGAATGATTTGGACCTTTGCAGGAAACACTCCTTTCCCACACTTCTTCAGTGGAATTTCTGTTGCTTGGGTCTCTTCAGATGTGTCTACATTGGCCCAAACTGTACACATCCCTCTGACCTCACGTCTGTGAACAAGGCCAGTCTTAGGTTACGCTTTTACCAGATTATTCAGTAAAGTTATTTTTTATGTGGAACAGTTGATCTCTCAAGACACCTAAGGAACCCAGAAGGACTGCCTTAATGAGAGACAAGAGACCAAATTCCTCACTTCCCTGGTCTTAAATCAATCCTTATGGGCATCATTTTGTAGTTTCTTACTGCCTTATTAGTCCAGAGAGACAACTCTGAGGGAGAGTTTGTTTGTGATGAGCATGGGTAGATATTACTGAGAGAGAAACAGCATCTTGGAAAACCGGACTACTGTGAGACTGAGCAAGCACTTTTGATCTCAGCTTGTCAAACAGCATTCATCTTTTGCAAACTGAACACATTATTTTAGTTTCCCATTTGTACTATTAGACAACATTTTCTTAAGACCATTATTCAAATCTTCCTCTGAGCTGTGAATTAAAAGGTAATGCAAAGGTAAGATCCATTTCACAACTCCCAGTGAAGGGGAGATTTCTGGACATGAAAGGAACTGGCCTCACATTTTTGGCTAGAGACTTCTGAAACCAGATGGTACACATTTTGTACCTAAGCTTATTCAGCGTTTACTGCTGGCTGCTATATTAATCCTGGCAGCTGCTTGGAAACCTCCTATCCCCCTGAAAATTAACACCTGGTTTCAGAAATACTGAAGTACAAGTGATGGAAAAACTATCTAGCCATATGAAGAAGGACACTCTTGATGTGCTCTTAACACCAGATATGGTCTTAACAGCTGTGCTTATTGCTCTGGGGTCCCCACACTGCTTATTTTGAAGGTGTGGGCATCCAAGTGTCAGGTACTAACTTAAATTTACAGAACTTCACAAATTTTTATTTTGAACTAATCACCTATGTTTGACTGATAAAGTATGCCATTCAATTAATACTCCAGAGGGCTTAAGCTCTGCAATAAATCTACTTTTTATTTTAGTTTGCAAAACTCAACCTGATCAAAATCATGTTTAAAACACGCCTTCACACTACAGTTCAACATTTTAGACAAGCTGGGTGGTGAGAAAACACATTTTTTCTTCATAGCTGCAATTGTTCTTCCATGTTTGATGCAGAGGTTGGTGTTTGGCTCCTGTTCACAGAAGGCATTCACATTCCTGAGATGCGCTCAGGCACGCTGTTTTACAGAAATGTAGCTGGGCTGTACATGATATCAATTCAGAAGGTGGAGAATGGTACAGTTTAGTTGCACTTATTTACAACAATGCCTTTCCGACACTCTTGTTCTTGAACTCCACTGAACAGTGTTTTCAATTTTGGCTTTGACATGTGGATGAGTACTTGTATTCAGCCCATGCTTTTCTTGCCAAACATTTTACTGATCTCTGGAATAAATGGACCACTACTCATGAAGCTATCGAGGAGTCCTTTTTTTAACATTTTTGTGCTTCAAGCTTCCACTGCTTGACACTCAGTGGAAGGAGACATCTTGTAAAAGACAGGCTGTATTTACTGAACATATTACACAGCTAAGGTAATGGTTTACAAAGATAATGCTGAAGTTGCAACTGATCCTACAAAATTCAGAAAAATATTCTGATTTTTTTGCAGGTTGTAGCTTTTATTTGAGTAGCAGTAAAGACTGGGTTTATTTCAAACACTAATTTTGTTAAAAAGAAATGCAAGATAGGAATGCATATTAAACTTACTAAACTAACACGTCGGTAACTTTTGAGGATATTGCCTTATAGAACTGAATCACCTGAAATGTTCCTGTTTCTGAGACATCAAATTAGATGTCGTGTTTTGGTGCACAGCACTTGTGGTACTAATGCATGTATATAGTACCACAGATTTATGATATGCCAGAATAAAGGTAACGCTGCATAAAACCGCATTAGTCATCTACTTATACACATAGCAATTCATATCCTCTATGGGAGATGAATCTGACTGAGCCTTTTTCTTTGTGTAATAGAGGACACTCATGTTTTGCAGACTTCAGACCATCAGAGAAATGCTAGAACTGGAATTATAGGATCAAATATTCCCAGAGAGGAGAACTTCCAAACCTGGTTTTTGCTTGTATGAAGAAGTGCTCATGGGCCCAGACTGCAGAAGTACTCATGTAATTGCTAAATTCAGGTTTATATATGGAACAGAGGAATAGAATTGAAATCAAAACTCTGGATCCAGAAGTACTCATGTAATTGCTGAATTCAGGTTTATTTATGGAACAGAGGAATAGAATTGAAATCAAAACTCTGGATCCAGACACTGCTGGTAGGGAAATTCAGACCTTTTGCACATACAGCTACATGCACACAACACATTCTCCCATGAATTTATGCTCAGATTGTAAGGTATTTACTTGAAGCTTCAATTTTGTTATTAGACTATTGCACTCTCATTTCCTGTAAGAGTTACGCATTGTCAGAACTTTAAAATGAATCAGTTTCATGGAAGATTTAATAAATTTCTTATCCTGTGCATGCCCAGTGACACCAAGCAATTCTGAGTGTCAGATAGTAGGACTCTGCTTAAAAACTGTGAACAATTTAGCTCCACGGTTGATCCCATCTAAAGCAAACCATGGCATAATAACAAATGAAAAACAACAACAACAACAAAACTGTTATCAATGGCTGAAGCCATTGTCTAGTTTAGTACTAGACTGTTAAGCAAACTAACCATCCATCATTTAGTGGACTAGACTGTATCTCCATTTGGCAACTACTATTTTCTGCTTTCTCTTCTGTATGATACCTTTGTGTATAGTGAACATTTGCTCCAGGACAAAGATCTTTATCATTTCTTTCTTACAATCTGGGACTGAAGACTGCATTCCCCAGCTCCCAGAAGCCTGTTGCAGACATCAGGCTGTTCAGCATGTAGATATTGACTTTCCACCTTCCTGGTGAAATGATGCTGCTGTAGCAAACAGAACAAGATTCAGGACAAGCAAGAAAAGGTACCAGTAGATCTTGTAGGTCAGTGATATCAGTAATTTCCAAGCACAGAAGACCTATCTGCTAGACTCTGGTCCTGGCCCATTGGAGCGAGAAATAAACTCAGACAGTTAAGTCTGTTTATTTTAGACATGCAACTTCTTATTTAGGAATTTCAGCCTCCTGACAAATGTTACTGCTTCCATACAGTTGTTACTGCATTGTTTCATGGCTGCAGGTACACAACACTGCCATGCAATAGCAGTAAATAGTCAGCTGTGGCATGAGGCAACAAGTACTCTGTCTGTCAGTTCTGGACACGATCCAGAGGATGGCTGGATCCCAATGGTCAGGATTGACTAGGTCATCTGTTTTTTTTCAGGTGGAAGAGAGGTTAGCCATAGCTGACACAGTTGCTCTCAAACTGGTAACCAGGCCCAATATTACTCTCCTTAGCACAGGTCTAGCCTATGAGACCAAAAAGGAGAGTCTCATCTTGAATAAACAAGCAGCCTCTGTTGTTTGGGTCTGCTAAAGGCAGCTGACTGATAAATCCAGAACAGATGGAAAAAAAAAAAAAAAAAAAAAGAGTAAAAGTTATTTCAAATTATCCTCTATACTTACAATCATAAAGAAAAACTGTATGGAATTGAAGTGTACGTCAACATACTGAGATCAGTGGCTTCTTTTATAAAATACAAGTATTTCAGGACCATGCCTCAGAACTCCTGTAGTTAAGGGTAAAAGGAGACTTGCCATCCACACATACAACTCACAAGTGTAAGAACTGTGACAGAATGTAATTGTTAAATTTAATTTGGAAAGAAAAGCCAATTTACTTTGTTTTTAAAACAAAAAAAAAAGGTAAAATTAATGAAGATGTAATCCTGGTAATTACAGAAATTGATGAGAGTTCTGAGTTCACTAGGCTAACTAAATTAGGTTAATCTTCTCAAAATATGTTGCACTGAAATATCTAATGTCTATGCATTTATGAACACGTGTTCTACGGTATAATTTTGTTTAATCTTCAGAGGCCTCTAAATCTAATCTTAGGCAAACTGGCGAAGTTTTGCCTGACTAAAGAATGCCAAAAAAAGCCCTAAAAAGGGACTGCTAGGATCAGAGTTACTTGTTGTTTCCAGCTGCTTTGTTCTGCGCTGGTATAGTAAGGATGCCATAAATTCAGCTTAATTGGAAAGTTAGGCTACGTTTACAGCTGTTTTGCTTATTTGAAGAAGTGCAAAACAGCTGAACATTCCAGTGAGCATGGGCCTTCATCTGAATGACATTTACATTATAAAATCTCCAAAAAACAGCATCTTGTCCAAGCTTCTCATATTCTTGTACACGTCTAATTTTTTTCTCTTTCTCCTGGTGGTTCTCTTCCAGGACACTTTTCTCTTGCGTTTGTGTTATGACTCCTCTTGTGCATTAGTTTTGTTATAACTGTATCTGTAATGACGGAAGAGGTATGAATTTTGCATGAAAAAGATCTTTTTCTTAGTTTTGTGGTAGTTAAGTTAGGCTATGTAAACTCAGATAGATAGCCTACTGTGCTTCAGTGTACATTTCTGTTGTAACAATATGCTCACACACCAGTATGAGTAGATGAAGTAAACTCAGTATGGCTTCTTTTCTCCTCAGACAACATGGTTATTCTTATGCTAAGGCTCCAAAGCAGTTTCTTTCAGCAGGGAGCAGTGTCTTGGCTCTCTGCAAGGCAGCAGATACAGCTGCTGTCTTTTAATTTTATTAACCTGCAGCATTACACTTCACTGTTCTCTTTTGTGTCAAGCACTGTTTGAAGAAGGTATGCTTGTTCTGTAAGAGAAGAAAAAGCCTGCATCAGCAGTGGATTATTTACAGAACTGTGGTCAGTTACATTTATTTAAGCATTACTTACTGGCGTTACTTAACATTCATGAAGTATATACAATATCTTTCACTCCGCAAATTACCACTCCAATTAATCAAATATGAATTTGCAAATGTTATCAAATGATTCTAAGCTAATAAAAGATTTTTTTGCTCAATAGATAATTTATGATTGAAGGCTCTTTCTATACACCTTATAGCAGGATATAGAAAAAACCACAAACTGCATTCCCAAGACCAGAAGTTGCAGTTGACTAGCTGAAAGAGAAAATGATTTAGTAATTCCTATAATTCAACATATTGTCTGATGTATTTTCTCTTCCTCGGTTATGCTTACAGGAGGAGTAAACTTTCAAAATTTTATCTTTTTCATTTAGATTTTTTTAAAAAGAACTGATTCTTAATACTAATCTGGAATAGCTGGTGTGTTTTCCTTTTTTTTTGGGAGGGAGGGAGGGTGTCTTTTATGCTTATTGCTATTTAGAAATGAATTTGCACATTTGAAAAGGGCATTTGAAAGGGTACAGAATTATGTTCAGGAAGATTTCAGGGCACTCAAAGGTAACACAAGTGTTATCTACAACAAAAGAAATGAAAGAATAATTCTCCAGGGAGTTTATTCTCTAGTATTACAGAGTTGGTATTAAAATTTTCAATCCCTTATTTCCCCACAAATAAAAAAATAGTTGCATTCTACCCATACCATCTTTGATAGACCATATTTGATTACTAATTTATTAACATAATTTAGAAGGCTGATGATTTTATGTCTGCTTGTTAAAGAAGGCAGATGGATGGATGATGGATAGATGAACTTTTTTGTGATAGACCGTTTTGCATGTCTTTATACAGCTTCATTCTCAGTTGGCTTTCCTCTAAGCAGTAAACAAAACCTCTTCAATTCCAAAATCTGCATTGAAAACATATATTCAGATTTCAATCTACTTTGAATTATTCATATTTTATTTGAAACTTTTAAACTCCTTTACTGTTAATGATGGTAAAAGGTAGGAAAAAAAGTGATCTCCACTACTCTCATTGACTGCATAGTACATGGCTATTTTGTGCACTAATGACCACTTCTGTTGTTTTTTGAAGTTATTTCATGTACTTGGAAGTCAATAATCAAATTTTTGCTTTGCTGTCATCACTATTCTTTCTTCTTCCATGTTCACATACAATGATAATGCTGTAAATTTGCTTCTGGCAAGCAAAGTAGGATTTAAATAATTAGCAGTCAACTCACCTTATTTGAAACCTAACTGATCTGTCACTCCATCAGTCCTCTTTCAAGTTAGTTTGCAGTAATACATTATTAGGGACACTGGGGCAAATCAGCTGGCAGGTAGGCATCCCACTGGTTATCTCTGACTGTTTATAGATTTAAAAAAAAATTTAACTGTATTTATGTTTCTGTTTAGATATATGTTGTGATGAGTTGCTAGCTGGCTTTAATGTTGACAAATACACATGTATATACCTATGTGTTAGGGCAGTCACAAGAAAGGCATGCAGTCCCAAGCCAGAAATGGGCATTTTTCATTTTAGGGCCTTCATGACCTGTTCCCGAATTACTTAAGGATTTATGAGCAGAGGACGAGTGGTAATTAGAAACACAAATAAACAGCTATTTTATTTGGTGCAGGAATTGACATCTCAAATTGGGATCACCTATTTTCCTCTACATTCAAGGCCGATAATTGATAGAAAGATGTACAGCAAAGCAGGCCTTTCTGTAGTATATCATTCTGCATTTGAGAGAGTACACAACCTGAAGGAAATCAAGAAAAAAGTAGGAAAAACTATTGTGTATGAGACTTTGTGGGGTTTCTTTCTGACTGAAAAAAAAAATCCCAATGGGGAAAAACATGGTCCTTGTGGGAGGTCAATGTTAACGTATCTTCTAGGGAGGCTGAAAGACATAAGAAAAACAATGTGAAGAAAAAAATACCTTCTCATGATCAATACTTCCAATTTATCCTTCCTGATAAAGCTGGCAGTTTAATAGTATGTATCTGTATATTAATCTTTCTTTCAATTCTATATTGATACTGTACATTACCATTCATCATATTATGTCAATTTGATCTGCTTTCAGTAAAGTGACAGATCAGGATATGTCATTAACTTTTTTTACCCTCCTTTTCTGTTCATCACATGTGTATACAATAATTTTTTGGAGGCAGATAACAGGTATTTTTCAGAATGTTGTTTAGGTTTGTGAAAGTTTCTCAGACGAGGTGTTCTTTTTCTTAGCAGGTCTGGATTAGCTGATCCAATTAGAGGTAGCTGAAGATCCCTCTGGTCTGCAAGTAGCCATGGAAGATGGTAATATCACTCCTAGAATTTGAATAACTGACATGAATTTGAATGTGTCTGCCTCAATAAATATAGGACCATAACATAAATCTAAAAATGACACAACAAAAGTTACAGGAATGCTGTCAAAGTGGGTACCTGGCAAAATGTATTTATTTCTATTATTTACTCAATGTTATGAATTCCACTGGAAAAAATCAGAAGTAAACAACTTTCTCTTACAGAATTAAATGGAAATAAGCATTGTTGTATACACTTGTATAAACCTATATGAGCATCAATGTGATCCTACATAAAATCACTTTAAAAACTGTGTAAATGTTATACATTTTTTTTTATAGCAAGTATGTAATATCTCTGCAAGTGAGTGACTACTGAGCTGTGATATATATGCCCTTCTTGATTTTATGAATGCAGTTTCAACTGTTACAACAGGCTGAGGGACAGTCTCTTGCCTGTATAGAAGTCAACTGATGTTAGGCAGGCAGGCTCAGCACAGCCTTCAGAGATCTGATACACACAATATCCTGAAAAACTGAAGCTTAAATTGTAAATCCTAAAATCTGCAAATAGTGTGAATTTCAAATATAATTTATGGCATTGCACCTTTCTGATTGTTCACTGTTTAATACTGGTCCTGAAAATAGATAGAAATAAGGCAAAACAAAAAAGAGAGCTGCCTTTCTCTTTGAGCTGCTAGTTCTTACCACTGCAATCAAATTACTGATATATTATTGATAGTAATAGCCACAGGAGAAAAGTTTCTTGTCAAAGTTGCCATTTCCACCTTCTTTTACTAGCAGGAGATGTGCATGAGTTCCATAGAGGAGAGAAAAACATACAATTTACTCCTTTGAATTCTCTTTTTCTGTTTCTCTACAGATTTCAACCACACCTGAATTATCCTACACTCAAAAGAAAGAATACACAGGTGTAACAGGAGACTCAGCATGCATGCCTCCAACCACTAAGATCAAGCCTATCAACTACATTATAGAAGAGTTTACTTTTGCTGAATTGTTATGTTCTGTTTTAGAGGTATCTTTTCATCACTGAAGAACACATCAAAAGATTTTAGACTTTGACATTCTTATCCAGGATATGTTTCACAGTCTTTCATCAGCCACTGAAGCTGGATTAGCACCAGAAAATTTTTAACACACACTGTATGTGCAGAGAAGAGACCAAGGGACCTTTGGCTTACAAAGAATCTATAAAATGTGATTATTAATTTCAAGGTATCACACATTTAAAATAGAGCTCTTCAGCATTCTTTATAACTAAAATAATGAACTGATGAAGAGCTGATGAAGAGCCTGCCTGAAGATAATGTCAGAACCCACAAATAAAATAACTCACATAACAACTGAGATGGACTCATAAAAACTTCAGAACAGAAATGAAACCCTGATTTTCAATTTAATCTCCAAACAGTACACTTGCTTCAATTTACAGTGTATTAGAGGAGTGGGTAAAATTAGTCTTTAAAATCTTCCATTCCATTACAGAAATGGGAAATAAAATGTTTACTGGTTTGCAGTTCAGAAGTGATGGATGCACGCTAGGCCTCTTCTTAGTATGTACTGGGCTGTTTTCAAGAAATGCACATAATCTGGAAGCAAAGCTGACAAAACTATGTTACTGAAATTGCTTTGATTCAAACACTGCAAAGGCTGTTTGTATACTTGAAGAAGTCAGAGCTGGATGGTGGAGTTTTAACTACTAAATTTTCCAGTTCTCATCATCAGTATTAGATGGTGTATTTAGTCCTAAAGCACGGTTAAATATTCCTGGAAATCTCGGACGATCCTGTGCTGCAGCTGAAGCCACAGAACACATCCAGCTCATGAAATGAGCTACTCTGCGTTTAAAAATGGCAATTTTTGAGAAGTGAAATCCCTAAAATTCTTGAAATAGTTTGTTGAAATTCTCTGAAATATTTGTTTGAAAATAACGTTGCTGCATGTAGAAAATGGTTGCAAAACTGCTCTAATTTTGAAATAGCAACACATTCTAATGTATCCATATTGCACACAATTGCCTTTTATGAGAAGGCTGTAAGAGCATGACAAAATTAATAATTTCAATGTTTCAAGAATTAATTTAAAATACATTTTGCAAGGTTCTTTTAGCTATTTGTATATATTTTTTTCATTACAGCATTACATCAGAACATTAAAGATTCTACCAGAAAGGTGAAAAAGGAAAACAGTTGTGCAAAATCAGAATATAATGTGAGCTTATGGTTGCTCTGTGATTCACTGTAATGCATTATTAATCCATATGTTAGTAAAATAAAATATTTTGAAAATTGTGATTTTTATGGAATTCAGTTTAATTTGTAAAATCATTTTATTCATACATGAATTTGTAATGTTTTCTTGTACTACATTTTTCCTGTATTCATCTATTAAAAAATCATATTTACAAAAATATTTATGGACAAAGGGAATAAAGTAAAATACATACTGAAGGAGAAATTTTAGCTATAGGAATTCATGTTCACTCAGTAGACCAGAACCTATAATTTGTCATTTTTCCATTGGACCTCTGTTCTCAATTGCTTGCAGTAATTAATATCATAAATTTTTCAAACTGCAAAAAGAAAGAAAATTCGGTACATGGATAGATTTGAGGCAGCACTCTAAATTATTTTTGTCTACAGTTAAAACCAAAGAATAGTCCATTAGATATAGAAAACTGTCAGAACCAACACAGGTCTATTAGACTTAATAAGAGATTTCATTATTCAGTAAGTATTATCCATACAGCAAACACATGACTGGAGATGTAGTTACAACTGTTGATTCTTAGTGTTATTTTACGCAAGTCACTTCAGAGTTTCAAATTTGTATGGCATATTTTAATAGCTTTAGACTTACGGTGGAGTTCTGCAACTCATACAGTTTGTAAAATGATTGCCCACACCAGTTTCCTACTGACAGTACAAGTCTGCAAGGCCCAATTCTCAGCTCAGTAAGGTCTCGTGAACTACTGTAAATTTGAATTTGTTGACATGCTGAATTATTGTCGATCCAGATGCAAGTTTCTATGTGTAGAATGTATGTACCACAGTGTACGACCCTATGTAGCTCTGAGTCACATGCATTTAGTTAAGTGGCAAAACAAATGTTTACTTCTGTCAGTGCTGCTGAGCCAGTAACTGTGATTATTATTAAACTGCGGGAAAGAAAGAAAGAAAAAAGCTATGTTTTAATGCTTATGCATTTACAGAAAAAATATGAGACCCCGATTTTAGGTTCTGTGTTGTTGATGATTAATGACCAGTGACAGTCAGAGCTGAAAGAACAAAGCAACACAGTATGAAGAACTGGCAGATCTTAAATTCTCTCCTGCTGTCAGATATCATACTTCGACTTGGACCACATTTTGTGCAAAATTAAGTAAAATACAAAATCATGCAGATCTAATAGTATACTTTAATGAAAACAGCTTGTCTTTAGGTGCTGGTAATTTTGATATATTAAAATGAAGGTAATATATTTATCTCATTGACTTAACGTTTAAATTTGCAAACATCTCATAGGCCAAAGAAAACAAAAAAAAATACTAATAAATATGCTGAAAAGCTCCATACCTCAGTATGAAATCCTGACCCTTTCTCCAACTAAGTACACAGAGTCCAAATGCAGTGAGAATGCCAAGCTACAGGGGCCCCTCGGTGGGGAAACCTGTATTCGGTCAGCAGCATCCGTCCGCCGAAAGAGACGTGCGGGGACGGATGTGAGAGAGGGGTGTCACTTTAAAGTGGTGGCTGCTTTAAGAATGAGTGTGTCTATGTGTGTGGGTTAGATTTGGGTACGGTATTTTGCCCAGGTGTTTGTACAGAGCAGGACCACCTCTCTGCGCTCATTTCTGTGCAGGCTTACAGTGCTAATTCAGCCCCAGGACTTGCAGCCTACACAGGCTGCACTTTCTGGCGTCACATCTCCCAGCAGTGTGACACGGGGCAGTGGTGCAGGGAACACGTGTTGTACAGCTCCCTACACTTCTGCAGCAAATAAACTCAATTGCACGTGTAAAATGCTTGCTTAAAACCCATGGGTGTGGGCCCAAGGCTTCGTTAGGAGGCTTGATGCTGGCACCTGTGGCACATTCCCTCTGTTCTGGGGACCTTCTGCACACTGTGGCAGCCAGCTTTCAAGGCCAGGTAAAGGTGGTCAAGAGATCGCCACGTTCTTTTCTTCCTCGCTGGTTAGAAAGGCCAAGGTGGAGATTCTGGTAAGGTGTTCAGTTAATGCTTTAGCAACCAAGCTTTCAACTAGCTTATAAGGGAAGCAGCTTGCACTGCAGGTTCTCGCGTTGCGAAGGACCGACGCTATGCCCAGCCGACCCGTGTGACCCCATCACGGGGTCTGGATTCTTCTCACACCATCCCAACCTTCTGCTCGGCCACCGGACGGCGACTTGCACGCTGGCAACCACCGGCTTCGGGACCTGAGAAGCCGAGTCTCCGCGGGACTGGGGAAGGGGCAGAGCACACAGCGACGGCGCGGTGCTGCTCAAGACATAAGAGCCTTCCGCCTCCCCCTTTCCGACTGTGGAGCGGTTGCCGGGGCAACGCACGAGCAGCGCTGGGCAGCCCCGCCCCCGGCGCGGCGCGGCGCGGCGCAGCGCTCGGCCGTTGGGAAGTGCGTCACGGCGGGAGCGCGCCTGCGCCAGGGCGGCGGATTCGAACGGCGGCGGGCGGCGCTGAGCCCTGTCACGGCAGCAGAAGGAGAAGGAGAACGGGGAGGAAGAGGATGAGGCGCACGGCGCCCCGCGGAGCTTTGCGGAAGATCATAAAGAAGCACAAGCCTCACTTACGGCTGGCGGCCAACACCGACTTGCTGGTGAGGCGGGCGTCCGGCGAGGCCCTGGCGGTTGCGGGGGGGGGGGGTCAGGGGTAGGATCAGCCCGCTCCGTAACGGCAGCCCCGGGGGTCGTCGTGTGGGGCCGGCATCGGTGGTGCGTCTGTTCCTGGTTGAAGCCCTGTGGGAAGGGCGATCCCGAAGCGAAGTGGCCTGGGCTGGTGGGGTGTGCGTGCTGGAACGCTGGGAGCTGTGGAGAGTAATGGGATGACAAGTTTGATGCTGTGTCCTACGAGCTGAGAGGAAGCAGGTTTGGTGGCACGATGAGCTTAGGGACTCGGGGTTATGTGTGAACGTTGTGTCGCTTTGCAAGTGTGCACTGCTGTTCCGAGAGTTTGGCGTAGATGGATTGAGAAATAGGAGGCTGCTGTAAGTAACGTGCAGAAGTTTGTTGATGCAGAGTGGTTTTGGTGTGCAGGTAGCATTCAGCAGAACTGTGATTAATGAGTTGCTAAGCTGTCAGTGCGTCTGGGAGGCTGTCTCAAGTAACCTCAATGTAAAACTAAGGAGTGGAATGTCTTTTTTCGTCGTCTAATGAGAACAAGTGTTGGGATCCTATCCGTGGGTTAAAAGTATCCCCTGAAAAGGTGTAGGGGGTAACAGTCTTATGGAGCAAGTCAGAAAAAGCTGACACACAACAATTTTACCTGCAGTGACGGATTTGTCACAGGGTTTGTGTTGCTGGAAGAATGCCCAACTGTACAAAAGAACCTGATCTTTGGAGAACCCGTGGTAGCTGCAGGGGGAAAGAACAATCTCTGCGTAAAAATATTTTTTTGAAATGATTTAATTGCCTGAATTAGTTTGATTGTGATGTGTTTATTGGTTTTAGCCGTGTGTGATTGTGAGGGCAGTAATGCATATTGTATATTTGTATGATTTGAATTATGACTAATCTGAATTACATATTTCATATGAATAAAAGCTGTCTTGCAGAATCCTGAAGGTCGATGGCTGGCTATGTGAAGCTCAAAGCAGATATACTAAATAAAATATATCTATGCATATAATTATTAATATGGTGCTTACATGACAGCATTTACATGTGAATGTAAACAGTGCCTATTTTTCTAATTTGCCTAATAACAGAATGTATCTTCCTATTGCTGTTGCTATCTGTATCATATTTTGTGGACTAAGGACCTCACCTCTCTCTACTCCTGTTCAGAACCATTCAAAGCTTATTCAGGGGGATGCAGTAGAAACTAAACAAACTTGCTCAATTATCAATACATTCTTTGCAGTCATTGTTAATACTTGGTCTGTGTTTCCATAGTCATGTGTTTTCTTGGCTTCAAGGAAGTGTGGTTGACTGAAAAGGGGTAAGTGGGCATCCCTCACAAATTTCAGCCATTGGTTCTTATCTCTGCCTCTACTGGCAGTAGTGTTTTTTGGGCTGCAAGTACAGTCAGTAAACTGAATTGACTGAGACTAATGACCAACAACAATGTGACCTAGCTTAAAATATGACTGTGCGAGTACTCTTTCCTACACAAAGGATGAGATTAGAACAAGTTTTCATGGTGTGGTGGAAGTTTAGAGCATGTCCTCTGGTGATGTCGCAGTAAATAGGAGGCTTGCCTTTTTTATTTTACCCTTGTTCTGAACAGAGATTTTCAGGGGTGCTGACTATGCATGGTAATCAACCAGGCACATGGCACATGGCTAACAGCTCTTTCATTCCTTTTTTTTTTTTTTTTTAATGAATAAATAAACAAAACTCCAGCTGTGTTGATCTAGCTTTACAGTTTAACTTCTGTAGTTAGAGAAATAATAAGTTTTGAGTGCAGGTGTTTTTTTTTTGTTTTTTTTTTTGTTTTTTTTTTAAGCTTCCCTCTGTTCTCTACAAATCTTGTAAGATTGATTTGACTGCATGCTTCATGTACTAGTTATTTTAATGAGACAAAGCTCTTAGCAAAGCTGTTTGTGTCTTGTGCTGCAGGAAAACAGAGAGAATTGGCTATTTCATTTATTTCATTTCCAGGGTTGTTTTCCTGAATGATACCAGCTTTGTTTGAATCCATTGTGGTACTAAACCAGTCTAGTGTAGAGGTTTTCCTACATAATTGATTGTGTAGTGATTATTTTTTTCCTGACTCTTAAGTGATTATTTGTCTTCAGTAAACTTCGATGATTAGTCTTTCAAACTTGTTAGGAGCAATCATAATACAAATGTTTTTGTTACATGTCTAAATTGAGTCTCTTCTTTCCCCTTTCAGATCTCTTTTTGAACTCTGAAGCTTCATCAGAACCTATTTTCTAATAGGTTTTTACTGTTTTACTTTCTGTTTTACCCTCTGTTTTACTGAAGGAATATGACATATATTTGAAGTGATAAATGTTGAGGTTTCTCCAACGTGTTTAGAAATCAATTACTTCCCTTTTTGAAATTAATAGGTAAAGGCTCAGATTTGAATGTTACCTACTCCCACCCAGCTGTCAGAGATAAGCTGTGCAAAGTTTGTTCTAGCTTGAAATTATAGAAGAAAAACTGCTTGCTTTTTGCTACAAATGCAGGTTTGTACTTACATTGCAGAAAAGCATGAGCTACAGCTCTGAGTGACTGCTTTTGTCTTTGTGATTGGCATGGAGTCTAATGAGTATTGAAGGCAAAATATGTTCTAAGAAATTACTTGTAAGTTGTATTGTCAATAGAAAATGAGGAGCTTGCTCTCGTCAGTAGTTTGTTAGTCCTGGCAAACAGTGTCTCAGTATGAAGAAATGAAGTACGGAAAGATTTTGTTCCCCCTTCTCCTCTGGGTTGTTCCTAGGAACCTGACCTCTATGTTAATGAGTCTAATAATGAGATTTATAATGTCTGATTTTATACATATATACATATATATATATATATATATATATATATATATATATATATATACATACTTAGTGTCACTGCAGATATATATATATATTTTCCCCCTGAGGTAACATTTTCATGAGGAACTTAGGGGTAAGTTTAAAGCAGCTTTGATATTTTGCAAAGTGAACCTGCCTCGGCATCTGCTTTGTGTAGTAGTTGCTTCCAAATACAAAAATATAAATGTATATATTGCAAAATATCATTCTTTTAGTTCAGCAGACTTAGAAAAGAATTGATTGTCATATGAGTATTGAAACACCGCTTACTACAGATTTTCTGCTCCGAACACACTGCCGAACTATTTGCTATGAACACCAAATTGTAGCTGGTTATTTGGTCTAGAAAGATATGATGGCAGAGCAAGGATGTCACTGAATTCATATGCATAATTGCCATGTTCCAATAACATTTTTGAGCTCTTGATTGAAGAAATACTTTGTGTGCTGCACAAAACAAAGTTAATGTTTGAAGGTTTAATTGACAATAGGTGCTATTGCCAGTTTTCAATGTTGGACTGTTAAAATGCTTCTTTTCAGGTCAGTATAATGTGAGGTGGCTATAGGCTACACAAAGGTGTTTTTATATGGTAGTTTTTAATAATAACTTTTTGTGTTTTTTTGGCTGCTGAAATTCTGATACAGAGCAGAATTCTGATAACAGAGCAGGATTATGTATCGAACTGGAATCACGTAGGAAGGTTAAAGGATAAGCTGGCAATAAATGGATGGAGCCTCCTGACAATGACATGTTAGTGTGCTAGAGAAATTCATGTCAGTGCTCCCTTACACTGGAAAAAGGCAGAAGTCTTTGACCTTGTCTGTAGCATGTCTGGTGATGAGGATGGGTTGGGTTTGCTGTCCATTAACAGTCTGGCTGGTTTAGTCACTGGAAGCTGATTAGATCTACCAGTACACAAAAAGGCTTCTGATTCTGCAGTTGAGCTATTGGTTTACAATCTATTAAAAAAAAAAAAAAATGCCCTGCTAATATAAATCAAATCTTATTTCTGTTAGATGTCTCTATGATCTCCTCTAAAGCGTTCTTTAGAATTTAACAAGAGTCGTATATTAAGGAATTTCATGAGTATCTATTAAGGTAATACACTGAATAGAGTGAAACTTTGTTTTCCTGAGAGGACACTCCAGGAATTAGGAAGCAATCCAATATAGGAATTCTGTCTCAAACAGCGACCCTCTAACAAAACTAAGTCTGTGAGCAGTTTGAATCCTTCCTGATTTTTTTTTTTCTCTCCTTTTAAAGGTACATTTGAGCTTCTTGTTGTTTCTCCATCGGTTAGCAGAAGAAGCCAGGACAAATGCTTTTGAGAACAAAAGTAAAGTAATTAAACCTGAGCATACTATAGCTGCAGCAAAGGTAATGAGGCATATCTAGTATCTTCATTTTCTGTTCAATGTAAAATATATTACAACAGCAGATGCATAAGTTTTCTGAGTGTTAATGTTTTTTACTATAATCCAAAGCTTGTGAAAATGTCACCAAATATGAAATGAACTTGCCAATACATATAGTACTATTTTAATGAAATTATTGTATGTTTGAACTCATACTGCGATATGCGAGTATGTCTTTGGTGAAGTCCACTGATGCATTTGTGGGCTGAAAGCTACGTGGTTGTGGCTGGCACAGCACTGGCAAATGCATTAATAACTGCTCTGTGTTATAAGACTGTTTAGTCCTGTAGCTCCCTGCCACTTTGACAGTGAACACCTTTATTCTGAATGGGTGGTAAGAGTTCATATCTGCCTATGAGCAGCTGTGACTAGCAAAACTAAAACTTGTTGCTATTTGATATCATAGCTTTGGGATGGGGGAGGATGAGTCTGAACTTTGTGGAACTGGAACAAGTTTGAAAGTTGGAGGGTCTTTATTTCACATGAATTTCAAATTAATATAAAATTAATATCTTAACTGAAATAATGTAAATTAAGCTTCATGGAGCAAGTGGAGAAGAGTTCAAATCTGCATCTTTAATTTTTACCTTATTCTGAAAGACGTGGGGCTCTTAGGTGGGTTCTTGTAGCCTTGTGCTGATACTGTTTGAGCAAACAAACTGTGTGATGTTGTGCCCTGCAGGGGAAGAACTGTGAGAAGATTAAGATATGAATTAATATGTGGGTTCAGCATAAATATTGCTGTGTGAATGTATGTGAAGGAGGAGCTGTCTGTGTTACAGGACTCTTGAGTTCTGTGTACGTGTAGAGTAAGGCAAAGGTGAATGGATTATACAGTCTTCTCTCCCTAGAAAGAATTAATGCCAAAGTATGCCTGAAGTCCTGTTGTATTTTGCAGCTCACTCCACTTGGAGAGAGAGATGTCTGCTTTAAAATTATAGAATGTCTTTCTTTGGAAGGGATCTTAAAGACCACCCAATTCCAACTCCCTGCCATGGACACGAACCTCATCCTCCAGATCAGGCTGCCCAGGGCCCCAGGCTGCCCAGGGCCCCATCCAGCCTTGCTGTGGACATCTCCAGGGATGGGGCATCCGCAGTTTCTCTGGGCAACCTGTGCCACTGCTTCACCACTCTGAATTAAGAATTTCTTCCCAAAATCTGACCTAAATCTTCTTTGTCTGGGTTTTCTTAAAGAACTTGGTCTAATGTTCTGAGTTATTTGTTCAACTACCTTCTGCTGCTGTCCAAACTAGAAGAGTAACACTCAGTGGTATCTGATATCTTGGTCCTGTGGCTTCTGTTTATCTTCAATCTTTCTTTCCTCTCGCAAAATGTTTAGTTTGATAGTTTCTGTTACTATAGTAACAAAAATATATACAGAATGTATAGGGTAGCCAAGTTAATGTTGCAGTTGGAATCTTTTGCATTTGTAATTTCTTTTTAACTGCAATCTTAATGTTATTTGAACATTTCTTGCTTCATTTATATATATTTTTTTTTAAGATGAGAAGAAAGGAAAAACTGCCTGTATTTTAATAATGTTAACACTTAAATGGTCCCACGTGGGCTTTGAAGTTCATTTTTCAACTTAAACTCCAAACCAAAAAATGTCCTTCCAAGGGTCTGGGCGCCCTTAATATGGGAAGAAGTAAGGTACTGCAAATGAAAACTGAGCGTAATAACTGTATAATTTCAAATTCTAGTTTTTTCTTTTTGTCTAGGTCTAATGGGATAAGAGCTTCAAGGAATATGCCGAGGGCTTGAGAGTGCTATTGATACTTCTTGGCATTGCATTTATTTAAAAAAAAAAAAAAAAAGCCTTTTATTTTTACAAAATTCTTGGTTATGAGTTTTAAATTTTCTGATATGGCATAGTTATATATGCTTTTCCTTTATTCCTATCGTTTTCCATAGACTTCTACCCTTAGTCATTCTACTCTTGGAAACAGATTGCTTGGCTAGAAAAGCCACTGATCTGAATATCCTAGTATTGTTTTGGATCTTATTGCTGCCTGGATTGTAATGTAGATACAAGCAATTATAAATATACTTTTCTTTTTTTGCAGGTTATTTTAAAGAAAAGCAGAGGATAGAGGAGAAAAAAAAAAAAAAAAGAAATGCAGAGCCTACTAAACATCAGTGGAATTTCCAAAGGTTTTTCTGTGTTTTCTTACTAACTTGAGATTCTGCGAGCCAACTTTGCACCTGTAAAAGCATTTAGTCTTATTTATATCCATCTCCTGACTCTTGCTTCTGCTATTGAAAAATACATACATGCACACACACTGTAATGTTTTCATACACTTGATAAAAATTTTTAGAATGTATCATTTACGGACATAACGATTAGTGTAATTTAAGATTTGTTGTACTTAATTTCTCCCATAATAATGGAAGGATCCTACTGTGCACATTCTTCAAGTACGTGTAATTCATCCTTAGAAGTGTGAAACTTTTAAAGAGGAACAGCAGTAAGGATACAATTTTCACTAATTCCTAATTCACTAATTTCACTAATTCACTAATTATACAAATTCAGAGTATATTTACTAGATAGGCAAAATCTGGGCTTTCAAAATAAGTGTTGTAGAAGCTAGTATATTAAATACCTTGGCTTTGATCTGTGTATAAATGTCTGAATGGTTTTAAATGACTGAAAAGTAGATTAACACTTCCATGTTGTGGAGTAAGAATACATCTTTATGTTTAGAAATCATGCTCTGAATTGTTAATCTAGTCTGTTGTTTGATGTGGTGTATGGGACAAGTTGGTGGCCTCTAATTCATTTGGTGTGAACAGCCACATGTTGGAAGCAGGGAGGAATATCAGACGTAACTGATGTTTTGAAGTTATCTTCACTTTTGTACAGGGTCTAAGTTGGCATGATTCTTGAACTACTTCTTTTGGAATGTCATTCTGACTTGTCAGAACTCTGGAAATGTATGTTGCATAAAATCTTGAATTAAAATCTGTCTTTTAAATACTTATAGTTTATCTTTCAATAAAGTTATAAGTGGATCTAGCTGCTTGAGTTGATATTACTGTTTTATGGAATCTGTAGTAGATAATCTGCACGGTGAGATGTTTTCAAATAAAGATTATTTTCGTACCAGTATGTGTTGAGTCATTTGTTTGACACATTATGGAATATATTCTAGAAAACCAGAGAAAAGGATTGTATTTTGTAAGGGTTTTTTTGTAATCTAAGGAACCTGTAGTGATGTCACATCTTCAGATTTTGTTTTCTCCATGAATTTGGTAATCCTGCACAATCTGCAAAATGTCCTTTTACAACATGCAGAAAGAAAGGATGCTAGATTTTCTTTCTAGAACTGTTTTTCTCTTATTTTTTTCTGAAGCATTTTAGTTGCATATCTTGTGTAACTATGTACCTTTACTCACTGTAGAGATCTGACTTCTATGTCCTGCTTCTTTTGAATCTTGTTTGGATAGCCAGCTTAACATTCTTTTTTGATTTGCATCTAATAAAGATTCACTGAGGGCTTAATGTAGTGTTCTCATTCCTAAGTAGTAAATGAATGGTCAGCTACCATTGGTGAAGGGAAGCAAGGGTTGAAACCAGGCATTCATGTGTTGTTGTTTTTTGTTTGTTTTAATATCTTACAGTTTTTTGGGGGGCTGTATTCACAGGTAAGAAGATGTTGTGTTTGTTTATTTTTTTCTTTTTAGAGGAAAGGGGTGTTTTTTTATAAGCCCTGAGAAGTCATAGAATCACAAGGTTGGAAACAACCTGTAAGATCATCCAGTCCAACCGTCTTCTCATTACCATTGCTACCACAAGCACTAAACAATATCTTGTAGTTCCTCATCCAAATGCCTCTTGAACACTGCCAGGTGACTGCACCACCTCCCTGGGCAGCCATTCCAGTGTCTGACCACTCTCTGAGAGAAATAGTTCTTCCTCATGTCCAACCTAAACTTCCTCTGGTACAACTTGCAGCCATTTCCTCGGGTCCTGTTCATGGCCTGGGAGAAGAGGCCAAACCCTTCTTCACCACAGCCTCCCTTCAAGAGATTGCAGAGTGCAATGAGGTCTCCCCTGAGCCTCCTCTTCTCCAGACTGAACAATCCCTGCTCCCTCAGCTGTTCTTCATAAGACTTGTGCTCCAGACCCCTCACCAGTTTCGTTGCCCTTCTCAGGACACGTTCCAGGGCCTCAATGTCTTTCTTGTAGTGCAGGGCCCAAAACTGAACACAATACTCGAGGTGTGGCCTCACCAGAGCTGAGTACAGGAGGACGATCACCTCCCTGCTCCTGCTGGCCACACTATTTCTAATGCAGGCCAGGAGTCCATGTCAGAGTGTGTTGAAACAAGATTGCCACTATTTTGTGAACATTTTGTCATAGCTGAAGCAGACAGCTATTCAGCTTTCTCTCTTAAATGTTTATTGAAAATTAAGGTGGTTGATACGTGATTCATGATCCTTGAGGTCCCTTCCAACCCTGGCCATTCTTTGAATATTCACTATAAGGTTACTTATGATTACTTACATTCATATTTGGCAGCTCTTGTGTGCCCCTTTGTACACACAGTCTCTTCATTTTTGAGTATGAACTCATCACAGCAGTATTGCCTAAATACCCACAACACTTCAATTGTTATAGCGTTGGTGGATGTCCTAAGGTAATTTCCTTAGTCAGTGAGTCTCTAATAAAGACAGATGGCTAATGACAAAATATTAAAAGATGTAGATTTATAAAGCATTCTTTTAAAACTAGATTTGCGGTAGAAGCCTAATGATGTTGGGTTCTGTAATTTGCGTTCCTGTGTGGTTTCTACAGGAGGAAGAAAAGGATTATTGAGGGAAGAGCTATGCTGATGCATGAATAGGGCCTCTTCTACTTAATGGTTTTGATAAAACCTTCAGAAATGTAGATTGAGATTTCTCTATTGAATTTTCTTTGGTTGCAAAGGTAGGATTCAAGAGATTTTGGGAAGGAGAGATAACAGGTATTCAGACAACGACATTTATGAGTCTTCATTTCCTCAGGAAAGCAGCACAGAAGACTTCCAAAGTTAAACCTATACTGAACAGTTACTTGGTCTTCCCATTCTCTCATTCTCCCTACAGTTTTTGCAGGTGTTTGTTTCACATACTTCTCCACACCTTTACTGTGATTGTCAACATAAGGGAGAAGAAGCAATAATGAAACGGAAGAATTTGACAAAACTACTTCTAGTGGCCCTTGTCTTGTATTTTGTATCACAGAGTAGCTAATGTTAATCTCTTGCCCCAGTGGGTGCAAGTCAATAAGGCACTTTATACAAGTCACCTGATTATGATTATTATACTTAAAACTACAAAATATATAGGTGTAAACATTATGAATGGTATATCAGTGAAGGTTATCTCTATGAGGAGGTCTAGCTGTAGAACTCTTAACAGAATACAGCAGTGATATGTGAGCCTCTACACTTTTGAGGCAGAGCCCAAATAATCACCTTTGTATGTGAATCCAAACTTAGACTGGAACTTTGCTATCTTGATTCAGCAAATTAATTCAGGTGCTAGAAAGGACATTTATGTCTTGGAGTTTTGTTCTTTCAACTAGAGAAAATGTGTGATTATTAGAATATTAAATTCTAAAGTACAAGTAATAAATATTCTCTGGCTATAAGGATACAATAAAGGGGATAAAAACTCAACACAGAAATATGTGAGAAAAATACTTTTTCTAGCCATAAGGTGGAGATAGAGCAAAAACTGCTGACTTTTCTTCCCTGCAGTAACTTCCTATTGAGTGAAAACATTGTTTATTCTTATTAAAAATATATATTTGTGATGCTTCCAGATTTATTTTTTAAAGACTAGAAAGCCTGTATTGCTGACATGTGAGGAGCAATTGCAACTAATAATAAAATAAAAAATTCTTTCTCTTCAAAAAAATAGTGTGCTGTTCATCCATGCTGAGAGTATGATATTCACAGTGCTTTAATGGATTTTCAATATCTTTCTTTTTTGTAAGCTCAATGTTGCAGCATTAGGTTATTATTGTACTTAGCTACATATTTATAGTTATTTGTGCAACAAAGCTTCGTATTTAGAAACTGGCATATAGTGTCAGCTGTTTAACATAGGATGTATTTATAAGATATTGCACAAGCAACCTTATATGCAGACATATAGCTAATAATGGTTGAATTGCAGATTCAGCTGGCATTCCATTACTCTTTTATCAGCTTAGAGCAACTAATGATAGGGCATCATAACTCTTAAATGCTTAGGTTTTTTTTTATATGATTTACCATGATATGTTTAGATGATCTGACTCAAATAAAAGTGCTGATTACAATAAGACAAAATTCCCTTTTCCACTGCTGTGAACTGTGCCCAGTTTAAGTTCTTCAAACTATTTCAGAGAAGTGCCTGTAGTTGTTCAGTTTAATGCATTATAAATCTATGTATTGCAGTATAGTTTCTCTGATGAATTAATGGTACTGTACTTCTGATAAGGTACTGTGCTGGCGTATGTAGATATGATAAAATGTAACTGAACAAATTTCTAACATGTTTAAGTAGTTTCAGATCTAGGGCAAGAAGATGCTGACAGCATTTGTACTGTGTTAAAGAGAAATCCTAATTTTGAAGATATATGATGTAAGCTCTTGATTCTGTAGAGTTTGTCAGTTGAAATTGATTCATTTGCTGTTTGGTTATCCATGGTGAGAGTACGCCACCTTTGCAGTCTCCACTCATCAAATTCACACAGGATTTAGTATGTAGTATTCTCCTGTGGACTGGGATGTTAATATTATCCTGACCAAACTGCTGAAAGACCTTTTTGGGTAACTAGATATTTATAAGATCAGATTTCTTATTGAGAGAGTCTTTTCTGTGAGAATGATTTCAGTGGGTGGAAAACGGGCAAAGCATAGAAAAACAGGTAAGACCACCTAGACAGCCTTAAAATTACTTCTGTTTTACAAAAGAAATGTAGACGACAGACTTACTACCAGGTAATTGCTGCTGTGATTGCAGTGGTTCAAGAGAACCAAGAGCACTTTCTACAGGACTGGCTTGCTGTTAGCCTCCTAGCATTTACGTAGGTCAAGCTCTTTCAATGCTGCTGCAGAAACAGACTCCTGTTTTCTTTCATAAGTGTCTAATAGGCACAGAAGGATATATATTTTGGCAATTGAACATATCCTGAATAAAAAAATCATAAGGGGTGAGCACTTCCAAATAAATGTAATGAGGAATAGGGTTGAATTATCCAGATTTAATTCCTTATATCAGGTTTAATTGGTCTAACTGTCTTTAACTGTACTAATCTCTAAAATTGACAGCCTAATGTGTATTTTTTCATTTGTTTAACTTCATCAGGTAAGTACACACAGATATTAGGTTATATAACTGAAATAAATTTTAATGAGATTTCAGCAAGTTTTATAAATAAACCAGATCAAGGAAAACATTTACATAATGTGAAGCCAGTTTTTAAAATTCTATTGCATAAGCTAAGCTGAAAC